TATTCTAAGATCAATTGCAGAAAAAAAGAGAAAAACTAAGAGAAGTAATCTTAAGGATAACCTATGTCTTCTGGCCTATATAAGACCCCTAATTAATCAATTACATCATTTTGAACTTAAAGTGACATTCTGCATAATAGGTTTTATGATCAATTTGCTCAGCCTTTTCCTCTATCACTTAGCAAAATTTCAGTTAAGTTAGTTTTCTCATCTTTGACATTTTCGCTTAGCAGATTGTTTCCTGATTGAGAAATTTTGAATTTTCCAGGATAATGCTTCTGGATGTAATTCATTAAGAGGATTCTTCTGAATAAATCTTTATATTTTTCTTTAATTTATCATTCATGCAAAAAATATAATTAATTAAGTGAAAATATACAAATTAGACAAAAAATTACATATAAAACTATTTATTTCATTTTTACTAAGATTATGATAATAATAAATAATTAAATGTCTTAATTACATATAAAATATATTAATAAAGTAATTGAAATATATTCATGAAAATACTCCACACTTAAACCTTTGCACTTTTAAGCAAAGTGGAAATTAGAAAATAAGGATGAAAATATATTTTATCAATAAATCAAGTTATTATCAATAATTCAATTATAAAGATTTCATAATCATAATGTTAAAATACAAGCACTCTATTAATTATTTTAAATATATAACAAATGACACATACTTAGGATCAGAGATCTTCACTTGGATAAATTATGCACTCAATCACTCAAGTGTGTAAGGGAAGTGTTTTTCTTAAATCACATCTCAAAAATAAGATTAACCATATGCTTAACAAATTTTTAATTAAATAAACAATAACATATACAAATTAAGGATAAAAGGTCTTTGAATAGGTTGCAATGAGGTTAAGGTCAAAGTACGGAATAAACAAAGGAAAAAAAACTAATAGAAGAATCGAAAGATAAACTTTTAAATTAATCATAAAAATAATGCAATAGAATACATTTTTTTTCATTTCATTTTTCTTTTCTATCCTCTCTTCTTTTTCGTTCTCTCACATTTTTTTTTCATTGGCTAAGTGAATTCATGATAACTAAACGAGTCAACATTTTTCAAATTTTTCTAATAATTTAGAATTTTTAGAACAACTCAACGAAATTGTTGTGCTTTTAATGATTTTTTAACATATTAACATATATTTTGTATAATTAATTTTGCATTCTTATAATTATTTAAATTCATTCCCAGTAGAATTCTAAAACATTTTCAAAATTCAAAGTTTAGAAGTTACCTGTGGTTTTTTATTTTCATTAGCTTGTAACGTGACTTAAATAACAAAGAAATGAGAATTAAAGAGGCTAACAAAATAATTACAAAGTAGACTTAGTTTGACTCAAGCTAATAAGGAATAAATTTCTTAAATCATCTCAATAATTATATATGATTAAAATCAAATAAAGAGAAGTATACCAAGTTCTATAATCTTAAATAGAAGAGTAATTACCCAATCCAGAATAATTAGGCTTAAAACTCACCTAACTTATATTTATATTTAATTAAATTATGATTAGACTTGATCAAAGTTATACAAGGGAAATAAAAATATTATACAAATAAATTTAACAAAAATGATGTTAATCTAAATAATTAAATACAATTTAACTAAAAATATTAACAAAATACATAAAAATAATACATATGAGTCATCCCATCACTTCACACTATTGTTCTCAATGTAAAAAAAAAAAAAAGAAATTAAGGAGTAGAATGTGTAAATGAATAGTATTCAAAGATCTAGGAGGAATAAAAAGTTTATAAAAATGGTTCAATCTTTGATCATTAACTTTAAAATACTTTACCCGTGGATTCCATCATAATTTCATCTACTCCACATGAAAAGACTATAGGAATAATATAAGGATCACTTTGTTTGGATCTTAATTTAGCACAAATTAATTTTAATACAGAATTAAAATAATAAAACTTTTTTTCCAATAATAAATTTATTTTCAATATATTTTTATCATGAAACCTTTTTGTTTTTTCTTTAAATATTGTGGAATTCTAAAAAGCATTTAATCTTAAATCTTCTAACTCTTATAATGGTAACAAATCTTTGGTCACTTGCATCATCAAAAAATAAATTAGGAGCTTTAATAACTTAATAAACTTTAGGCTCTATTTCAACTACAAGATGAGAAGCCTTGAAAAAAACAATCCTAAAAAAAGACATCTTTAAAAGTGTTTTGCAAGTTGTCCTATGAGCCCATCATCTTATTTAATATTTCAATATTTTTTATTTGGTTAAATAATTTTTTCTAATATTTTCTTTATATTTTATTAGATATTTCAACTTAATTATTAGTTTAGGATGATAAGCTATAGATGTTTTATGTATAACTCGATATTTTTCAATAAGTAAGCAAATTATCTATTAAAAAATGAGATCTTCGAACATAAAAAAAATGCACAAAATAATATAGGTTCTTGAAGCATTTGATATCTTTTTGAAATATTACCGTGCTTTTTGACAAATATCACAATTTTTACAACAAATGAAAGAATATTTAAATATTGTTGACCAATAAATCCTGCATTAAGAATTCCTTTTGCAATACTTTGGTGACCTAAATGCCTTCTAATAGGGGAATTGTGAAAAAAATTAAAATAAAAATTAATTTCATTATCAGTAATATATCTTCTAGTCATCTTATCATTACAAATTTTTCATAAGTAAATATCATCTCAAATAAAATATTTAGAATCATGTTTTAATTTATCTTTTTTTCTTCTAACATATATGAAGAATAAATAAATGCAACAATATAATTAACAATATTAACATACTAAGTCTAAAATTTAAATTAACATTATAAAGATATTTATGAGAAAAAAGAAGCACAAATGAAATAATCATCTTTCTTTTTTTCAATTCTACTTAAATGATATGCAACTACATTTTATAAATAACTTCTATCTTTAATAATTAAATCAAATTTCTGTAGTAAAAGCATTCATCTAATTAATCTAGGCTTATAATAATTCTTTTCCAACAAATATTTAAGAGTATAATGATCAGTATAAAAATAACTTGAGAACCTAATAAATAAGATCTAAATTTATCTTAAGCAAAAATAATAACTAACCATTCTTTTTCAATAGTAGGATAATTTATTTGAGAAGAATCTAAATTTTTAAAAGCATAATAAATTACATAAGGAGCTTTATTAATTCTTTATCCTAGAGCTTTATTAATTCTTTATCCTATAAACAACTCTCGAAACATAAATAGAAGCGTTACATGTAATTTCAAATTGAATATTCCACTTAGAAGGTTTAATTATAGGAGTAGAAGTCAATGCTTTCTTTAAATAGTCAAAAGAATTTTTTTCATTTTTTATCATAATTAAATAAAATATCTTTATGCAAAATGAAGTTAACATAAGAACAATATTATTAAAATTCATAATAAATGTGTTATAGAATCCTAGATGACCAAGAAAAGATCTTACCTCCTTAATAGAAGACAAAAAAGAAAATTGAGAAATAACATTTAATTTGGTGGGATATACTTGAATATCGTTTTGAGAAATAATATGACCTAAAATAATTATTTGCTCAACCATAATAAAATGACATTTTTTTATAATTTAACACCAACTTATTTTCAACATATTTATTTAATACTTTATTTAAATTATCAAGAAAATTATCAAAAGAACCATAAATAGAAAAATTATTCATAAGAACTTTAATACATTTCTCCAATCAATAAGGAAATATATTTAACATACACCTTTGAAAAATACTTAGAGCATTACATAAACTAAAAGACGTCCTTCTATAAGCATAAGGTCAAAATAGACAAGTAAATGTAGGTTTATATTGATCCTCATATGCAATAACTATTTGAAAATAACCATAAAAATCATCTACAATATAATAATGAGATTTACAAGCTAATCTTTCTAACATGTGGTCAATAAAAGGTAAAGGAAAATGATTTTTCCTAGTAACTAAGTTAAGTTTTCTATAAACAATACATACTCTCCAACTATTTTGTACTTTTTAGGGAATTAATTAACCTTTTCAATCTTTAATAACATTTAAGCCTTTTTTTTTTGTACTTCCTTTTTAATTATATCCAAAATATGCGGATTTACCCTCTTTGATGTTGTTTAATAGGTTTACAATTATCTTCAATCAATATTGTATGCATACCTAAAGAATGACTAATACCTCGAATATCATCTAAAGTCTAACCAATACAATTTTTATTTTTCTTAATTATAAAAATTAATTTATTTTCTTGACCAATATTCAACAAATTAGAAATAATAATAATAATAATAATAATAATAATAATAATAATATAAAAATTAATCATTATCATAAAAAAATACATACTTTAAATTAGAAGGTAAATATTTTAATTCATAAACAAAAGAATTGTTTAATTTAGGCTTTTGGTTTTCTAAAAAATCAATTTATTTTTTTGGAAAATTTTCAAAGTTTTTTTCTTTTTTCTTTTTTGCTCTAATTCACTGAGTGCAACTTGCATTTGCTTATCACTTCCTACTATTTTTGAATTTTTAAAATTTTGGTTCACAAACTCATTTTCATTGAGCGAATTCAGCTTTCACTCAAATTTATTTTGAGAGAAACATTAAGTACTAGGAAATTTTTGTTGAGCGAGTTGAGCACCCACTTAACACCTTTTTCTAGGTTTGAATATTGTGTAAAAAATTTGTTGAGTGAAATCAACCTTTGCTCAACGTCTATATAAACTATTTTAGAAATTTTAGTTTTAGTAGTTTTGCATAATTTTCATTAAGAAAATCTAACTTTCACTCAATGTGCCATTTTCCACTCGAGCTACTAGAAATTTTGTGCTGAGTAGATTAAGCTCTTACTCAATGAATTTCTTGTCCTCCTTATCAATTACCACTACCTCAATTTTGTTGAGCAAATTCAGTTGCTAAGCAAATTTAGCTTTTGTTAAGTGCCCTTTTTGAACATAGACTTAGGAGATGGTACTACTTTTTTTTGTTGAGTGGATTCAGCGCTCACTTGTAATTTTCTCACTATTTGGCACTAGATTTAGTTCTGCTTAATTTTCGTTGAATGAATTCAACTTTTGCTCAATGAACCTACACTATAATAGAAAAGACATCTAATAGTGGTTATGTATGTTCTATAATAGCGGTTAAAAACACTATTAAATGAGACGCTAATAAAAGAATGACATTTAGATAACAATTAACTAACCGCTATCACAAATAAGATATAATAGTGGTTAACTAACCGCTATCATAAATAAGATATAATAGCGGTTAACATGGAACCGCTATGCAAAATTGTATTTATAATAGCGGTTGGAATGATGAACCACTCTTAAAAATGCACATATAATAACGGTTAAAATAACACCCGCTATCTAAAATATACTTTTAATAGCGATTAGTTCTAGAACTATTCTCTTTTAGTTTGTTTAGATAGCGGTTCTGTGAACCGCTATCTAAAGTCCCAATTTAAAAAAATTAATTTTATTTAAATTTTAAAATCCAAAATTTATTCCTGATAATTTGTACCTGATAGACCACAATTTTAGGGTATATATCAAATTAATCTAAAAAAATCCAGCCAGCATACAATATATATTCACAGAATCATAGAAAAACAATTCAAAATTTGACGAATTAAAACTAAAATTTGCATGAAACAAAATTGGTACATATACATCAAATAATTGAAATGATTAAAAAAATCCCTAAGAGTCTATGGTGTTGATTTTATCCTTAAAAAATATATGATAGAAATATGCACACCATTCCTTTTGTAGCTGCTCAATTATAAGGTCCGAAAAGGTAGCAAAGCGAGATTCTGGAAAATACTGCAAATATAAATAAAAAAGAATCACAAAAGTTAAATTCCAAATTAGATAAATAATGACAATACATTATTCTTTCATATAAACATAGTCATAATACAAAAATGGTTCTTAAGTTAACTGGAATAGTAGTTTGTCCATGCTGCAGTGCATCTCCAATGAATAAAAGACTATGTAATATCCACAATCATATAAGTTCATTATACTGTATACTTAATAAAATTTTGGCAACATTTCTCATCAGTCTCTTAGTCCACAACTTGAATTTGGTAAAATTAACCTCATTCAACCATGCACCAAGAGACAATGACACGAATAGCAAATCAAAATTTTACCAACTATAACAAATAACAGTTTAATCAATTACCTAGATAATTATTGGCCAAGAAAAACTTTTTTCCCAAACTGTCCAAATTGGGACAATTTGAGTTTCAAAATAATGATCTTAAATCATTATTTAGAGACTTAAATGGAAAACTAAAGGTTCACTCAAGTTTATATATAATAATACCATTTAACAAGCATATAAAATTACTAAAACTATCAACAAAAACATCATACATAATTTCTAATACAAAATATTTCAGGGTCACACTAAACCATTTATATATCCTAGCCAACCTATATTCTATTTCAAAACACAATTTCAGGATCACAAGGTAGGCAAAAATAAACAATTCAGACCAAACTAAGATATTAATCAATTCAAATACTAATTTTAAATTTTAATTTCTAATTCACACTCACCCTAAAATTTAACTAAATGTATCATAATCAAAATAGGGGTGCAAATTGTATCCAATATCACATTAATTCAAATAATTATACTATAATAAATTAAATAAAAGCCTAAAAAATATATAATGCACTAACCTATTGTAAACCTCCCAAGCGCGTCCTACAACAACAATGGCGAATGGAGACTGAAACGCAACACAAATATGCTTCAATGTAGTTGTAAAACCCAACTTAGTAGTGAAAGCAAGAGAATGAGAGAGATTGAAGACACAGAGGGAAATGGAGAGAACCCAGAGCAAGTGGGAGAGCACAAAGTGAGCGAGAAGGAGAGAACATACCTTTAGTTTAATGGAAGACGCAGAGAGCGAGAAAGAGACCGCAAAGAGCGGCAAAAAACGTAGAAACAAAAACGCAAGGTTGAAAAAAGAGGGATTAGGGTTTTTAAAATTTTGACTTTAGATAACGATTCGCCAAATAACTGTTATCTAAATTACACTTATTATAGTGGTTCCACGAAGTAACCGCTATCTAAAATTATGATAACGGTTCCACGTGTCAACCACTCTTTAAAGGTATGACATTAGATAACAGTTATCACACAATCGCTATTATAAATTACTTTAGAAAGCGGTTCTTTCCAAACCGCTATTAAAACATACTTTAGAGAGCTTTTTACTCCTAACCGTTATCTAATATGTATTTTTAAAAGTGGTTTTTGTTAACCGCTATCTAAAGTGTCGTCACGAAAGCCACTTTCTGTTGTAGTGCTAGTAAAAACAGAAAAAAAATTCAACAAATTATCAAGTATAATGTTATATATAAGAAGCATTGAGATTTGTGCAACAATTAATTCATCAACGATATCCACCCTAAACACATAATGGTCTTCACTAGGGTATTTCAAAGCATCAAGAATATTAAACTTAACCTATGTATCACCAAACTCCATATTTAATGTATCAATATAAACATCATTCTTAGTGTGTGCAATATTTAAAAATGGTCTTTCCAAAATTAGAGGAAGAGAATCAAATGTAGAATAGTTAAGAACCTTATCTCCTATATCAAGAATAGAATTTTGCAAAAATTATTAGATTATTGCCTTTCATCAAGATATTTTCAATAACTCTGACCGATTGTATACCTCTATTAGCTAATTGAATTACTACACTTGTATTTTGCATAAAATCCATGAAAAAAGAAGAGTATATTGCCAAAGGCATCACATTTATTGAGTCTCCTAAGACTAACATTATATTTTCAAACCTCATATTGCCTATGATGCAATGAATAGTAAATACACATTTATCTTTCTATTTTCGACAAACACAACCAAAGCATAAATGTTCTTCCTTAGCTAAATCTTTTTGTTTCACGTGAGCCTTCTTTTAGTTGTGCACAAATCCATAAAAAATTTGCATACTTCGAGGAGGAGAACATTAACTTCAATTTTTGAAACAAATGCATCACTCATTTTGCATATAATAATTTTTTTTAAATAATTTAAAATAAGAATTACTGAGAAATAGGATGACAATTAAACCTGTACTCGTAGGGATTGACCTGTCTCGCCCCAATTTTGACGGGGAAAACTTGAGTTGACCGGGAGCGGGGCGGGTTCGGGTTTTCCCGTTTTAAAAAGTCGGGGCGAGGATGAGTAATGCAATCCCCACCCAGACCCAGACCTCGTCCTCGCCCCAACTTTATATTTAAATTTAAAATTTAAAATATTAATATTTTAAAAGTATTTCTTTTTCTTTTTCTATTACATATAAGGTTATTTTTTTATATTTCACCAATTTTTATTTTTTTTCTACCTACTTTTTAATTTTTTTTGTCTTTTTTAATCTTTTATATCAATTAATTTAATACATTATTCTCTCTTTTACCTTTCAGTTTTTTACATTTCCTTAATCTCTCCCATAAATTTGTTTTTTTTTCAATCTTTTTAACCAATTTGATGAACATAAAGTTAATTTTTTTTATCTTTTTCTAAATATTTTACATAAATCTTAATAGTGACTAATATTATTTTATTTATAATTTATATTTATTAGGTTTTATTATGTCATATTTTGTATCTTATTATTCTTATTTATCATATATCAAATTTTATCTTAATAAAATAATTGTATTTTAAAAGATTAAAATGAATTAATGATTTAAGCTTTTATTACTTGAACTAATTAAATAAGAATTAACTTATTAAATATTTTCTTATAAATTATATATTTTATATTTTTAAATGACAACTTAAAAATAAATTAACTTATATATATATATATATAATCAAATATTTGAATACAATATTATAATAATAATAATAATGTTATAAGTATTAAATATTTGAATACGAGTGTTATAATAATAATAATAATAATGTTATAAATATTCTATATATATAAATAAAAAATGATTAAATATTTCTTTTACATACATATTTTAATATAAATATAATAAATTAACATGTATATTTAATTAATAATAATTATAAATTATAAATATTTATTTATATATAAAAAATATATAATAAAATTAATTTATTATAAATGTAATTATTATTTTTTAAATAATATATATCGAGCATAGGGCGAGGAACCCGAAACCTAACGGAGACGGGATGAAGACTTTATTTCCAACTTCGACGGAGATCGAGTGGAGATGAGAATGATTAAAAAAGTCAGAGACGAGAATTAGGGAGACAAAACCCGCCTCAGTCCCGTTGCCATACTAGTGAGAAATGGGTCGAAAACGGGTTGAGAATAAAAAAAATTAAAATTCAACAAAATTAAAAATTAAGAACTAACTTTTAATCTCCATAAAATAAAAAACGAGAATAATGATAATTAAAAAAAATCAGAAATGGAGACAAAACCCGTCTCTTAAATTATATTATATTTTATTATTTAATGATACTATAACTTTCTTGATTTAATGATTTGAATGGGCCCACCAAAACTAGCCCAAGTACGATGGGCTTGGATGGGCTATAGACAGCCCAATTTGCTTGACACTGTTTCCGTCGTACTTGGCTTCGAAATCCTGTCAGTTTACTAATCTCCATTCTTTACCTTCCTCGGCGACAGCGAGACGAGACGGTTGCGAGCCATATCCTTTTTGTAAGATTTTTTTTTTCTTATGTTAATTTGTTATTTGCTTATGAGGTTGGATTGATGTTAATTGATTCTGTTAATTTATCGGGGGCATTAGGGATGAAATTTACTTATAGTTTATTGGTGTATTGTGGAATTTGCTTATGATTTGTGATGCTTTCTAAATCACACTGGTTGGGAGTATCAGAGTTTTGATTGTTCCATCGATTGGGGGTAGTGGGTGGGCGAAAGTTGGGATTTTTGAAGAAATGAAGGAGGAAGATTGTGCTGATGTTGGTGTCGTTGAAATGTTGAGGCCGATGTTGCCATTGTTGATCCTGAAAGTGTGCGGGATCAGAAGGTGGTTGTGGTTGGTGTTGCTGGGAAGGAATCTTTCATAATCGTGTGGAAGTGCAAAGGTGTTTGGAGATTTTGTAGTTAGGGTTTGGGTGTAGTGGTTGCCATGGAACAGGTGTGTCCGAAGCTTGAAGCAGGAAGAAAGCATTGTAACAAAATATATTTTTGTAGGTTGCCTTCATTGTCAATTATTTTTAGTTTAGACATCAGTGCTTTTGTATTTAGCGCACTTTTGATAGTTGGGAAGATTTTACATAGTTATTGTGTTAATGGAATTTGAATACGTGCTTTTCCATTTTTACTACTTAAAGTGGTAGAGCATAGTTAGGCTACACGTCAATTTTTTTCTTCTGCCTTGTGATGAGGTAAAATCTCACAAATTATTACTTTGATCTTGGGAAGCAATGGCATGGAGAGGACATCTTTCCAAAAACATAAAAGAACTTCGGTTTTTGATGTGCCAGTCATCACCTGCAAGCTCCTCAACAAGGTTATAAACAAATATCTTACCTTTCTTTGGGCTGAAAATTCTCAGCATTTTTTATTATTTGTATATATTGTTTGGTTACTTATTTATACTTTATGTCATATGTATTTGAATATAAATGAGCTTTTATTCTCTCTTGATGTCTCAGGGCTTTTGTGGAAAGGAATTATAAGGAACTAAAGACATTGAACCCAAAATTGCCAATATTGATCCGTGAGTGCAGTGGAGTTGAACCCCAGTTATGGGCAAGATATGGTATTAACCATCTTAAATTTAATTTTTTTATCTTTTTCATTTGATTTTATCACCTTTATACTGCATTCACATTCTGTGTCGTGGCTACTAAGCCTTTTCCCTGATAGTTTTATAATTGGATCTTTAAGGATTTACATGCTGACACGAGTTCACTTAGATTGAAATTTGGTTGACGTGCATTTCCCCTTAATCTTGTATTGGGAGCTGCCAAGTTATGAAAAATAATAATATAGTAGTCAACAGAAAATAATTTATAATATTTAGACCAATTTTGAATGCTCCCAAAAGCAAAATAATGCCACCTTGCGGACACACTGAAATCATGTGGCTGAAAATTCAGCAGTAAAGGTGTTGAAACTGTATGGCTGAAATCCTTACACTAATATATCTGGATTCTGAGTGAGAGAATAATTTCAACGGATGAGAATCCTTACACTTCATATTTTGGGCGTAATTTGTGTACAATAACTTACACCTATGAAGCACCTGTAGTTCAATTTGTTTCGTGTTTCTCTGTTTGATACGTATCTGATGTCAATACTCTACGATACTTCACCTATACTTATTGATTAAGTATCTAAACCTATGAAGCACCAATACGTTTACTTGTTTCACATATTTGATATTGATACTCTTGGATACTTCACCAATATGTATTGGTGAAGGGTCCAAGCTTTTAAAACATTTATATCAAATAAAAATATAAGAAACATAAAGTATTTGTAAGATAGAAACATATAAAAATTGTTTCTTCATAACAAGGAAATTGTTCTATATTAATTATTTTTAAAAAGTGAAGAGATTGATAGTGTTATTCCTATATCTAAATAATAGAAAGCAATTTATGATGATAATGATTTATAATATTTTTATTTTGGACATGTCTAAGGAATGTGATTTTAATTTGAATTTGCATAATTGTAGTTTTGAATTATATATATAGTACACGTATTGGATTTGTTTATTTCTAGAATAAGCATGTTGTTGTATCCGATATGCATTGTATCTGTGCATCATAGCTTTACACGGATATGTTAATTGTAAGAAATACCTACCTCTGGGCACTTCTAGATTATCACTGAGAAATTATGTTGTCGTATTTAAAAAATATTTGGTCAACATGCTCTGCTATGTAATGTAAACAAAATAGGTATGCATGACAAATTTCTTAGCAGGTGAGACTCTAAAATAAGGGAAATGATTATCACACGTGCTTTAAGCAAGGCACAAACATATAATGGCCCACTTTCTATTAGTTTTTAGCTTATGGGATGAGATCTTTTTGATTATAAAACTCAACTGCTGCTAAAATTGTTTTCTTAACTGTGAATTCTAGTTTAGGATAGACAAGCAATCTTAACTGTGCTAACAGTTTGATAATTATACTTCTTTGATTCAAATTTTTTATTATTATTAAGTTTTTGTTGAAAAATTCATCCAAACTGGCTTAATCTCAATATTTTCCATCTTTAATGAGCCTTTCTGATTATACTTTGTAAGGAATCTAGTTTTTATGAATAACTTTTAATTAATATGTTTGTGATGAACCCTGATTTCCTGTAATTTTTTCCTTAAAACTAGATCTGGGTGTTGAAAAAGGCATCAAATTGGAAGGATTGTCAGAGGGACAGATCTTTAAGGCACTTGAAGATCTGGTAAAAGCAGGACAGTCGTCGAAAGCTTGATTTTGCTGCTTATCCACTGTCTGAAATGGAATAAATGCTCTCTTGCTTAACTTGTTATTGCAAAATGTTTTTTGGTTTAAAATAAACCAGATTTATATTTTCTTCTACTATGTCCCATGGCGTCTGATTTCAGCCTGTTCCTTTCTGCATCTTACATAATTTCAAGTAAGACTCTGTTGATTTTAAGTTGAAAATCTTTGTTTTGCATGCTGAGCACACTTGTCGTGGGAGATTTATTCAGACAAAAAATTAACCTATTAATTTTGGTTAAAAGGCTACTGGTCTATGTCATAGTTTTAATTACAAGAGAACATGATGCTGTATTGGCTCAGCATATAATTGGTTGTAACTATAACCAAAGCATTAACAGATGATGTTTCCTTCTTCAATAAAGCTTTTGATGTTGCTGGAATGGTTTCTTTCCGGGTTCCTGTTGTATGTGCCCCTGATCTAAAATCATAAATATGAAATGACTGGGTGCTCAGTATTTATTTACTGGGGAGTTGAAAATGTCTAAGTTATGGTATGAATTTCGTGATGATAAGCAACTTTTAATGTTTATGTTTTTCCTTCAACTTCTACTTTAAAGTATTTTCTTATGTTAAAAAAGTCAAGTCATATATTACTAAGAGTAAATATAACCTGAGAGTACGTGTTTAAGCTTTTATTTTCTTCATTGGAGACAGGACTCAAGGGATGAGAAAACGGAAGAAGTACATTGTGGGTGTTGTTATCTCAGATGACTTTGTGGAGGTTATCTAAAACCATGTTAGGGGGAAACATCAAAGTAGAGCAACATAGTTTATGGTTGGTAGAAAGTAAGTTTTACGCCAGTGTGATTTTCAAGAATTCAAGGTTGGGCCAACCTCGACAGCGAATGCGTCGACAATGTTAATAAATTTTGAAGAGACAATTTTCGACGGTTATCGAAAAGCAATTTCATACAAATTTACTAAGTTTAAAAGTTGTTGAAGCATGAGAAAACATATTTTGAGAAATGTTAACATAACTCTGAATTCATGAAAAGTACCTTCCTCAAATACATTCTTCGAAAAATTGTCATAACAAGAATATGAGAAAGTTTTTTAAAACTATGAAGATCTTGAGCACATCCGTTAAAGATCAAATGCATTTTTGAAGTGAATGGATTGTAGGAGTTACAAAGAGTGTTTAGATTCAGTTTTGGCAATTATCTCTAGAGTGTAATCGGAAAGTCATTCTTAGATTTATCTTCACCTAGGACCCTTTCGCTTTCTTTGACGACTCCTGCGTATAAATAACCCTTTATTTTTCTTTTATTTGTCTATAACTTTTTCTACTTTGGATAGTTTGTTTTTTCTTTTTTACTGCTTTGTTAAAGATGTTTTCAAAATGCTTAATTAAACATATTTGTCTTTGAAAATGATATGGTTTGCATGCAGTTCATTGTTTTATCAAACTATGAAGAAATAAAACATTTCTTAAAACCTGTTACTAGAATTCATATTTCATTATTAGTCGTTTCATGATCAAGATTGTTATAGAATTTGAGTAACCTTATTACACTGTTAATCTTTTCATTAAGATTCTTAGTCTCACCAACTAAAGAACAATATTAGATAAAGTGCTTGTGACATATTCGAAACCGATATTCGAATTTTCCCATCAAGAACATCATGTGCTGGAATGCTATCCGTCATTGAATTGAAGTTTGGATAGTGTGTGGAGTTTAATGTGGCTAAAATTCGTACATCACACATCCATATCAATCTTTGAAATCATCGATCTGCAATATTGGTTGGTGAATGAAGTCTGCACCTATAACAAATAACATGGTCACGGTTCTGTCATACTGGCAAACAGTGCATAACGTATATCAATAAACTAATCACTATCCAAATATTATGTCCATCATTGGGACCATGTTTATATTATTACGACACAATCACATTATCATTTATTCGGATTATTATTTTATTTTAACTATTAACCTAAGTAAATGAGCAACAACGAAGTTAATCTAAACTATCTGATGAAAGAAAGAAGAAAAGGAAACAATACACGTAAGAAGAATCATGATTACCGTACATTGAGAAAAGAGTGTCATCAAATTGTACGTCAAAATAGATATACAAACTATATCATGATGATGAATAAGAATACTTTTCGTTATTTTGTTTATTCAGTATTTTTTTTATTAACCTACATATTCACTTATTAACTTGGAGAACTTTTGTAGGTGATTTCTTCTTTTCCTTAGTATAACTTGAAACTACTCTTAAGATATGCCAGCAAAACCCGATCAACCTCAGAATCTGATCAGAACATTTAACACCTAATGTGAGATGAAATAAAACTATCATTGACCACAATTTATGGTTTAAATGAAGCATCAATCAAGCACTTCTTTTCCAAACATGGACGCAATTGCCATCATCGCAAGCTTTAAACCACACTTTACATATATGCAATAAAAGATAAAATTAATACTCCCTTACAAGTTAATTTAATTGCACTACATAGTAATGACAACCAGCTACACACTACTATCATGACCATCCAAGAAAAGGTCAATCAAGATCGACAATAGTATAAACAAGAATTGAAGGTTTTACACGAGCAACTAGGCATGGCAACGGGGCGGGACGGGGCAGGTTTTGCTTCCCCGATTCTCACTCCCGACTTTTTTAACCATTCCCGTCCCTGTCCCAGATCATCATTGGGATTAGAAATTAAGTCTCCATTCCAGTACTCGTTGGGTTTCGGGTTTCCAGTCCCGATCTATATTATTTAAAAAAAAATAATTATATTTATAATAAATTAATTTTACTATATATGTTTTATATATAAATAAATATTTATAATTTTATAATTTATAATTATTATTAATTAAATATATATTTTAATTTATTATATTTATATTAAAATATGTATGTAAAAGAAATATTTAATCATATTTTATTTATATATATAAAATATTTATAACATTATTATTATTATTATTATAACACTTGTATTCAAATATTTGAATATTTATAACATTATTATTATTATTATTATTATTATTATTATAATATTGTATTCAAATATTTGATTACATATATAAGTTAATTCATTTTTAAGTTGTCCTTTAAAAATATGAAATATATAATTTATAAGGAAATATTTAATAAGTTAATTCTTATTTAATTAGTTTGAAGTAATAAAAATATAAATTAATAAAAGTTTAAATTATCAATTCCTTTTAATCCTTTAAAATATAATTATTTTATTAAAATAAAATTTGATATATGATAAATAAGAATAATAAGATAAAAAAAATGACATAATAAAGCCTAATAAATATAAATTATAAATAAAATAATATTAGTTACTACTAAGATTTATGTAAAATATTTAGAAAAAGATAAAGAAGAAAAAAAAATTAACTTTGTGTTCATCAAATTGGTTGAAAAGATTGAAAAAAAAATTGATGAGAGAGATTAAGGAAATATGAAAAACTAAAAGGTAAGAGAGAGAATAATGTAATAAATTAATTGATATAAAAGATTAAAAAAGACAAAAAAAATTAAAAAGTGGGTAGAAGAAAAATAAAAATGGTGACATATAAAAAATGACATTATATGTAATAGAAAAAGAAACGAAAATACTTTTAAAATATTAATAATTTAAAATTTAAATTTAAATATAAAGTCGGGGCGGGGATGAAGTCGGGGTCGGGATTGCATTACTCATCCCGCCAGCCCCGACTTTTTAGAGCGGGGAAAACCCGAACCCACCCCTGTCCCTGGTTAACTCGGGTTTTCTCCGTCAAACTCGGGGCGTGGATGAGTCGATCCCCACGGGTATGGATTTAATTGTCATCCCTACAAGCAAATATGAAAATTTGTTACGAGCAAATATGAAAATTTGTTCAAGACTCGTCTGATCAGCTAAAAAAACCAAAAATCCCACTCCTATTCTGAGCACTTATGAGTACACACTCAAGAGAAAAGCTTGGACTCTTAAAATATGTCAAAAAGATAGAAAAATAAATAGCCAAATTAAGGGTATCTATAAAAATGGACACATAAATACAAACAAGTCTAGTTAAGTACGCATAACCCATTAGGTGTGTATACGAGCATCCCTTCATGGTTGACATAATGAAAGATCCCCTTCCTCAACATTAGAGAACACCTACCAATGGGACATAAAATCTTAAGGGACATATCTGAGCATACCTTATTCAAATCGAGGTATTCCCTACTCAACCTTACAATATGAAACTTGGACCCTGTGTTAGCAATGCACACTATGATGACTGGGTTAAGCATGGGATCATTCTTGGAAAGTTTGTACCTACATTTTCCGCAACAACTTTGGATCGGAGGATCAAACTACATACAATTAGAGAAAAATACCAAGTTGAGGAGAAAAGAGAGGAAGAATTGATAACACATATTTTGTATTCACATTAAGATCTTTATTATACCTTTTAAGCACTTTTCTATATCTTATTGTGGTATGAGTACAATTTTTAAGTTAAGCAAATAAGGTATTTGATACAATTTAGATGAGAAAATCCAAGCAAGATTCCCACTGAACACGAAGATAGTCACTTATCTAAGTATGAAAGTGAACTTCCAAGGATTCAAGAGAGAAGAGGAGATGAATAAAGCATAGTAACAAACAAGGGCTAGACGAAATGCAGTAAAGTAAGAAGAAGAAAAGGAAATACAATGGAGAAGAGAAGAAGTGGGATTGAGGATGGAGGGGTGACACGCTACTTGGAGGATGGACCAACCCAAGATGAGCAGTGGTTGCCGCCACTTGAACCAAAGTTCAAGATAAGACTAAGAGAAGAAGAGCACTCAAAGAGAAAAACTCTCAAACTTTCATTCAATTTCTAATCATTTACAAGAGGTGGGAAGCCTTCTATATATAGGCATGGGTGAGGGACCTAAATAAAATTTAATTAGGGATGGGTTGTCCTAATTTTAACCTAGAATGGGTTGTCCCCTTGCCTTGCCCATCAAACC